AACTGCTATGGACAGGCGAGTCGCTTAACACCAGACGCACTTGTACGTCCCGTCACTTGGTGTTATAAAAAAATGTAGGTAAATGATTACGTTAGTGACTTACTTATCAAAAATTATCGTAAGGCTGAATGGTTTCAGAATTTCTGCCTCTTAATTTTCTTTCTATTAAGAACAAATTATACAAGCATTCGTAATATTGTCACAACATATTCTTGTCTCTTTGTTTGTCTTTGTAATAAACAAGACGGAGAGAAGTAATTTGACTTATATTATGGAATTCACTTCGGCGGAGTATTTTGAGTGAAGCTCAAGTTGCAATAGGCAGTCTAATGGTCGTATTCTAGAACTCTACTCAACGCTCAAGTCAGGACTTGAGTGTGATTTAAAGCACTATAAATCATACTCAAGTGCTTGCCATTAGAGTCGTATTTCAAGTGCTTGAAATCATACTCAAGTCCTGCCTTGAGCATTGAGTAGAGTTCTGGAATACGACCCTCAGTCTGTCATTGAAGACAAATACATTGTTAACGACTTAAGGAAATTACACATTGTTTGAAAGAGAAAAACATAAAAACACGCTATTGCCACAAATGCAATACAAAACGTCGTGTGTTACACAGGTGTCGTAGTTATTACAAATTTGTGATCATTACTCCATTGCTTGTGCGAACAGAGCTTAACATAGTATAATAAGAGAAAATGGGCAACTCCCGCCTGTTTGGCGCGTACCTACACTTTGCTCGGAGCGTAGGGTTGTCACATTATTATTTTATTTGTAGGTACCTACAAACAGGTTGTAAACATAATTATTGGGAAAACTTAAGGTGTTCATCGTAGGCTGCTAACGGATTGATTACATGTTTGAAAATCATGCAGTGGATGAAGTTAGTTCCGACTGCATGTTAACGCGTGAAGTCGTTATTAACTTCATGTAGGTCTAGGATATTATTATTTTCTGCTTTTTTCGTCTTTTTTGTATTTACGTCGCGATATTGCGTTCTAGTGAGAAGAGTGATAACGAAAATACACTAACGGATACACATTCAACCACATCACAAGAAATTTAGCAGACTGCTAATAAATGTGCCTGGAAAAACTGTCAAATTTAATTTTAATTAGTACTTTTTTAGTTATATATTTTTTTCTCTATAGTCTGTTATTATTTCCCTGCATTGTTGGAGAAAATCACTGTACATGCCTCGGCGGGAACGGGGATTGCTTGACTCGTATTAATACAAAACCTCGCTAGCGCTGGCAATCCCTTACTTTCTGGCCACTGCAATAATGTACTATTGTTAAATGCAGTAGGTACTTACGTGTTAATATTTTCATACCAGTATCGCGGATTGGTATCTTGCTTATGAAATACTGAACTATTTGAATTTGAGGCTTATTGAAATAACCACAAACACTACAATAAGTACGTCTACTATTTTTATTACTGATGTATTTTTTTAAACACCGAGTCATTACTTCACTTCTATTTGACGACCTCCGAGGTCGAATCCCTTGCACACCGATTTTCATGGTGTCGCCATCCCTGAGATCTCGAAGTCAAATCAATATAGAAAAACTAATTTTTCTATATTTTATCGGCTCTGGATGTTTGTAATACCGTCGTTGTTTCCTATTTCCGTAACATAGGTGCTTTAGCTATTTACTTTGGGATCATAAAAAAATGTTAACGGCGCATGTTGACGTGACATGACGACCTGAGTTAAGCTACGCGAATGCAACGCGAAATGAAGTGAATGTGTGCGTCCATACATGGCGCGCACATGCACCCATACAAGCGTTGCTACGTTTGTATGAAGTTACCATACCTACTTGCTTTATTTATATTGATCTCGGAAGTGTCAGCTCGTTTGCAGTAACCCACTTTCCGCCCTTGTTAAATAATATAATATTGTTTGTTACCTTATTTTCGCTGTAAAACAATTGCACAAACGTCTCCAGTCCTCTAATGATTCCCCATATTGATGTGGCTTGTAATTTAGATGATGTTGATATTGTCAGTTCGTCTGAAAGAAGTGGTAACATATACAGGGTTATTTTTATAATACGAATAACCTCCCAGGACTATATTACTAACATCATAAACAACTGTTGTTCCATGACTTTTCATAAAACATACTAAATTAACCAAAAATAGTTTTTAGGTTTTTGTTGTACTATCTGACACGTTTTAGATCTGGATTTGGTAGTAAGGTTAAGTTCAAACGTGGAATCGTTAGAAAGCGTTTTTACTAAATTATATTATTAATGGTCCATATCCGACTTCGCAGAGTTTTGCACATCCTTTGATCTATACAAAATCCTACACTACCCTCGGCTTCCTCACTATCTACGCTCCCGTTTTACTCACTTACTCCCCATTTCTCGCCCAAAACAAACCTGTGACACTAGAACACTTTTATGTCCCCAATCCAATTCCAATTTTTTCCACTATTCCTTTACAGTTAGTGCAGCTCGTATGTGGAGTAAATTACCTGCTAGCATTCGTGACAGTCTATCGGTTGCATCATTCAAAACGCAAATTAAAAGAGCACTTCCTGTTAAACTCGGAAGTTAATCAGTAACATTATATTAACTAATAATTTGTTTTGATAATAATATATATTGTGCACGTATGTAGGTATTTATGTAGATATGTGAAGTTTATGTAGGTTTGTTATCTCAACCGTATTTATATTGTCGTCAGCGATAATTATATTTACATTTTAATTTTAACAAATATATTGTACAATAATCTCCCGCAGATTTAGTTTATTCACCAATGCTAAGGTTGGCTGGAAGAGATTTCTTCTAGAGATAAGCTCACCTTTGTATATGTCCTTCGTAACTTGTAATTTTCAATGTCATTTATTTGTGCAATAAAGAATTATTATTAACATAAAGCGCAGGTCTCACCGCAAACGAAGCTAAGCAAACTTAGCCTAGCTCATGTAGCCGAGACATTTATTCATACTTCGGTTCACACCGCGAACTAAGCTAACCGAGCTATCTAAACCAACCCAACGATCCCGCTGAGCTATGTATAAAATATGTCGCCCATCTGCCACCCTTCGCCCCCTCACGTATCCATATTGTAGTACGTCACTACTTACTACGTATTTTCTTAGCTTAGCTGGCACAGTTGGTTGCATTCAACTACGTGAGCGAAGCTAAGTTGGCTTAGCTTAGTGCGCAGTGTGGTCTACGCTTAAGAATTCTTTCTTTTCTTGATTTTTGTCGACATTTTGACTGTAGCTTTGTGAATGACGTAGATATTTTTGTTATTATTTCGTCTCATCTGATGGAAAGTGAGGATCGGGTCGACGAAGGAACATTCATGACCATATAATGCTTTTTCATTATTTGGTTCACCGAGTCATTATTTTTTCTTGTAAAAAGTGAAATAGGCTAATGTAGTTAAATAGGAAATAGGAAAACGTGATTGTACGAGGCTTGGAACACCGGAATTATATTCAATTTAAATCTTTAATATCGCGATTACAAACGCAATAGCTATTCTAACGTTTTTGTGCCCTTGCAGGGTATCGTATGTGTACCACCAATTAATATTCCATTTTAAATTTACAATGTGTTATACAATAAATATTTTAATTGAACTTGGTATGATGTAACGGGTTTGTGTCCGCAACTCGACGCCCAGGCGCTGTGGTTGAATTAAACTTAAATTTAGGTTAAAGGTATCCGTGCTTCAGATAAAAATACTTACAACTTTCATCCATTCCTAAATAAGGATACTCTTCACAAGGTTCAGTCAAAAGGACATTTAGTTTTGCTATTCTTTTATACTTCTCTGACTTGTCGACTTTAGGAATATCAAAGCCATTTAATATATCCAAATCATGAGTCACTCTGGCGATGACCTTGTCTAACAAGATGCAGTTGTGACCAATTGCCTGTAAAGAAATATTGTAGCATTATACTTTAAAGAGGTACTCCTGGGTACAAAATTTTCCCTTGTTACCCGTACATAACCAGCACTGGGAGAGGAAAAATTATTGTTGCTACAAAACTAAGTAATTGCAGGAATGTTTGTTCCCCGTACAAAACCAATACAGCGGACCTGTAATGTACGAGGGAAAAAAAAACTGCAAAATAACCTAGCTATGTACGATAAAGTTTGTTATTTTTACAAATCCAATATGGTGGACCGGTAGAGTCCGATAAAACAAATTGTACCCTCAATGATAAAGCGAACGTAAAAAGGAACATTGTATTATGATAATTTTTATTTTATCATTTCATGCAAATTTTTACTTTAAATAGGTAAATTTAATTATAATATAATTTTACATGAACAAGGAATTAATCAATTAATACCAATAAAATAATAAAAATAAATGAAATAACAATTATCACAATGAAACATTATCACTAAGCGAACTAGTTACCTCCCACACAGCGAATATCTCTTAGGTTAAAACGCAGCTATCGTTCGCAATTGGAATGTTGATGATAAGTGGTTAATCACAGCGTAGCACATAACATTTTTGAACAATGAACATTTTCAAGTTTTATTATTTTCAATGTTCAGATAGAGACATCGAGATCAGCCAGATAGCCAACCTGATTGGTTAATTTTTGGACACAAACTTTTTATGAGCTCAGAAACGTTTAGAAGATACTGTCTTATGGTTCGTGGGGATAAATATGGACCAGACCAATAGTCCTATATACTCGTACTAATTTGAGTCAAGTTGACGAACTTTTAGGAACATTTAAACTTAGCTAACGGTATATATATAGACTGCGTCATAATATTAAGGTCCTCCTGTTGCCTGCGGACCATTGAATTATACCATTAATAGTATAAGAGAGGTACTAACCTATCCCATTTATACCTGTAATGATATAGTTGGTACTAGTTTATCCCATTTATACCATTGGATCATAAATAATAATGGTGTAACTGGGATAAACTATACCACTACAGGTATAAATAGGACAGATTAGTACCATTTATACTGTTAATGGTATAACTGGTCCGGTGGTCTCCTGTTAAATCTCCCTTTCCTATTTCTTGTAATTGACTTTTTTTTTACGCACACACTGAACATAGCCCCGCACTAGGAAAACCCTGTGTCGCGGGTGCCATGGACACACATATAGACAACCACAAATTACACCCAAACTCACGAGAGAAATAAATGTAGGCCATACAAATATTTCTCCCGGCCCGGGAATCGAACCTGGGACCTCTGCGTGGCAATCCGGCATGGTAACCGTTCGGCCACAGAGGCAGTCAACTTGCCTGTAGGCAATGTATGTACTGTGCTGTCTTGTTGAATTAATATTTCAATTTGAAAAAACAAATTGTATTTATGAGTTATTTTGAATGTAATGCGAAAGATATTTGGGCGTCTAAAAGAGAATATAGAAGGAAAGTGAGCCGGGGGAAGACCTAGACGAAGTTATTTAGATCAGAGAAGGGAAAAAATTCATATCGTGTCGTACCAGGAACTCAAAGTTATAAAGGAGTTCCTTGAAATGGAATACAACAGTCTAGCTCTTAAATTTGAAGAAAGAAATGTCGTATTATTGGCGAATGGACTGTATTTTAAGATGTGCACTATAATGGAAACACTTTGACAAATTAAACGCGTTTAATTTCAAAATCGGCAAAATACAGTATCGATAATATCAGTACAGAGTACTAAAAAACCGATCTCAAAAGTTCTTGGAATTACGTCTATTTGCCAAGTTTTATTGAAATCTTTTACCGGAATGTACGCGAAACCGGATCCCCTAGTTTGCCACCCTTAGACGGGAATATTTTCTTCAAATTAAAAAATACTGTCGAATTGAAAACCTCCTTTTTTTAAGTCGGTAAAAAATGAACCGAACCAGACAGCGTAGAAGAAGCAACTGCCAAAATTTTCAAAACAAAAGACAGGCGAAAAGTAAAACAATATTTTGTAAAAGGAATGGTTAAGGTCACAGGTGGTCGCCAACACGTATGTTTATTTTAACAACATTTTATTCATTTGTTGGACACAATCCTCACTTGATCACGGAATATAGTGACCAAATCTGAACCTATCACTAATTTTAGTAGCACTAGAGACTCCCTGTGAAAGAGTTCGTCCAGGGTAATTCTGCCACCTTACCTATTACTGCCGCCAAGCACTAATGTCAGCTGCCTCCGTGGCCGAACGGTTACCATGCCGGACTGCCGCGCAGAGGTTCCAGGTTCGATTCCCGAGCCGGGAGAAGTGTTTGTATGGCTTACATTTATTTCTCTCGTGAGTTTGGGTGTAATTTGTGGTTGTCTATGTGTGTGTCCATGGCACCCGCGACACAGGGTTTCCCTAGCGCGGGGCTATGTTGAGTGTGTGTAATAAAAAAAAACAAGAAAAAGTCAGCATTACTTTGTTCCGGTTTTGAAGGTAAGGGTGCTGGCAAAATTACTGGCACATGGGACTTGTCAACTTATGCCTCAGGGTGACGGGCGCAGTGGTAGTGCCCCTCAGATCTTTGTGATTTAAAGCTCTTGGTGGCACTGCATCTATTATGGACACGCGTGTAGCTTACCATCAGGCGTACGACTTGCTCGTCCCGGCGCTTGATGTTTAAAAAAGAAATTAAAAATAATAGCCACGTTTAGGCGACAGACTTTGAATCGAGTTCAGTCGGATAGAATAGATAGCCTCTGATCATCCGAGGCATTGTGATCATCATCAATACTTACTATTATTTCAGGATTCCTTCCCCTAACTTGATATATAACATCATGCGGAATTATGTGTTTAGGTTTTGGCCACACCTTTCCCTTACTCGGTATTACGCTATCAAATAAAAACACCCATAAAAGGCTGTTGACAATGGCACTTAATATTAGAATAAATGCAAATAGTAGACAATATGTTGTCCATTTGTACATTTCAGTGTATCAAGAGAATCCGGGTAGTTTTCTTAACTCGCCTTGTTATTTGCGCTTTGCACAATAAACCGTGTCCAAAAATTTAGTACTGGTGTAAGGCTGAGTTGCAATCGCTTCCTAGTCCCTGGAATATATAAAAAGAGAGAGATTACATAAACATTTGAGGTTATAATCTTTTAAATTTAAAAACATAGCATTCAATTAAAAAACTTCTATTAAGAAACCCGTGCCTAACAGTGGAAAATTTACGAGCCAATTTAGTACAAAGGAGCAACAATTTTAGAGTTATGTACATATCTGTCGAGTTTCGTTCGGGTTTCGTGATTGTTACACATAGGAAATGAAACTATTTTTTTTTTCGGATCTAAGGGTCGTATTCTAGAACTCTACTCAATGCTCAAGTCAGGACTTGAGTATGATTCAAAGCACTAGAAATCATACTCAAGTCCTTGCCATTAGGGTCGTATTTCCAGTGCTTGAAATCATACTCAAGTCTGCTCAAATCCTAAGTCCTAATAGTCGTTACACACGGCGATTTAGAGCAGCGATGCAAACGCGTGTCCGTGAAACGCGCAATTGCCACTTGCGATTTATTGGCGATTGCATATGCATAATTTATTGATTGGATTTTTTAATTTCACGAATATAAACAAAGTTTATAGTGCCGTATTCTTTATAATATCGGAAGAAGTGAAGAGAATGATTGGGGTTGAAAAATACGCCACTGGAATTTAAAAGTATGCCTATCATACTACATTATTATACTGATAACATTGTCAATACCGCGAGTTAGAATTTGTATATTTAGAGCCGTCGCCTTCGGAGTGTTTAATTATTTAAAGCGATTTGAATTACAATGGCGCTCCACACATAATAACGCCTACAAGCACAATTATAAACCAATTAGACATAGACAAACGTTTTATTTTACATTAAATAATATTTATTTATATTTTCGGTTAAAGAGCCATTATCGTGGCCATCGAAATTATCTATCTTGAGTGACGGTTTGTCAACACTTCAAAATAAGAGAAAGACACTTGAAATCACTAATTCTAATTTCTGTGCAAGTTGACAACTTCGCCATCTCTGAAGTTCCGGATTCGATTCCAGGCCGGGTCAAGTAGGAAAGTAACTTTTCTATATTGTCTCGGATCTGGGTGTTTGTGGTACCGATTTCCATAACACATGCACTTTAGTTACTTACTTTACGATCAGAGTAATGTAAGTGATGTTGTCTAATATTTTTTTTTTTCACTCATAGCCTCGCCCTCCACCAGGAAAACCGTGTATCGCGGGTGCCACGGACACACACATAGGTGACAAACACAAAGTACACCCAACTCACGAGAGATAAATGTAATAAATGTAGCCCATACAAATATTTCTCGCGGCCTGGAAATCGAACCCGGGACCTCTGCGTGGCAATCCTTGATGGATTAATAAGTAACCGTTCGGCCACTGAGGCAGTTACATATAATACCTTATTATTATTATATTTAATACAAATATCAAACACTCAGAAAAAAACTTTCGATCCGGCCGGATTCGACCCGACAATCTATGATATTTCGTCACCCAGTTACAGCTACCGGTCCCGGCTAGAGATGTCGCTATTCATTATATTTAAATATATATTGAATTGATCTTCAATTGTTTGTGTGAAATTACTCCACTAGTTTGTTATAATTATTAATACAAAGATCGAACACTCAGAAAAATTATAATACTTATAATACCTATACGTTAAAAAAAATTATATTAAAATTATTTTTGAAAAACAACATGCTACTCACCAACTACACTGCGTAGACAAACGTCCATCTTGAAATACGAAACTATACATATAGCTATAATATTCACGTAATACACATAGAGTTAACAATACCTCAATAAGGAATGATTAAAAATAAAAAGTAAAAATAATTTTATGGAATGTTTTACATAACATAACTACTCTATACATAACATCCTGTGATAATGTTTTTATTACTCAGTGTAGATGGTAGAGACGAATAGATTTGAAACCAATTCACGATAAAGTTCAAAAAGTGAAAATCTCTTTATCGAGTTCTTAGATTTTCGCGATTGTTACACCTTGGGAAATGAAACTATTTTCCCGGATTCAAATCGCGTATATTTGTTTTTTCAAACTTTATATTTATTTTTTCTTATCATGGATGCATTACTTTAAGAATAGGTAAAGGCTTGTGTGTAAGGGTCGTATTCCAGAACTGTACTCAATGCTTAAGTCAGGATTTGAGCAGACTTGAGTATGATTTCAAGCACTGGAAATACGACCCTAATGGCAAGGACTTGAGTATTGAGTAGAGTTCTGGAATACGACCCTAAATGTGAAGGAAATATAGCCTGCAAAATTTGTATTTATACAATCCATTTTTTTGCATTTCAGTAACTGTAAGATACGAATTTGAGAAAATAAGGCGACGATGTGTCATTTTACACGGGACCTTTATAACTGCTAATGCTTTTAGCATAGAATATAAGAAAATGGTACGACAAGGCTTCAACCGGTGATCGCAGTACTTGTGATAACAAATGACAAGCAAAAATTTGCATACGTCGCGGTGGGTACAATTTCCGTTAGGTAGCTCGCTTGGCGCTTTGCCAGCTACAAATATACGAAAAAAATAACTTGTCCCTTCTGCCGTGTCAAACCAAATACACTGTAAAGTCACTTACAGTGTTTTAACAGCGTTCATATGATTTCTTTAGGCCTAATCTATAACCCTGACATTTCAATTATGGAGGTGTTTTTGAATGAGATAATAATAACTAAAATTTAGAAATTATTTTGACTAACACGGTACGCAGCAATACAGTCTTTTGGTTTGACGATGACGTGTTGCGAGGCGCCCGAGTTAGCGAAAACTCTCAGATCGCGCAAATGTCTCAGGAGCTGGGGTCTACTAGCATTTGTCGTGGCTCAATTTTAACAATAAACGATGACATTCTATCCTGTCAAACCAAGACACTGCAAGGTTCTTGAATACAGTGTTTTGTAATTTCATAACAACATTAATCTTTCGGCTGTTAACGAGGGAAAAGAAATTTATTATGTGTAGCCTTATTACCTGGCATTTTTATGGGGCAACCCTCTCGAGGGAGGATTGGTTTTGCAGTTTCAAATGTTGTGTAAATGCGTAATACTCGTAGAACATGAAAGGCTTATTTGCAATGTTGAATAGTGAGTCATGGTCTAGACGTTCTGGCGCGATGTTATCGATATTCCCTGCTGTCCTTTAGTGGCTCATGAAAAAACTAGCTGAGAAAACGCTGCTGAAATCACTCGCGCGCACTTTTACTTTATTTTGACAAAGAGAAATATTACATACGCTGGTCCAAGTCCTGTCAGATCGAAGGCATTTTTGTTTGTGTTAATAGAATAGAATATCATTCGACGAAGGCAAAAATACGTAAAAGAAAAGGCATATGAAAAAAAGAGAAAAACGGAGTAAAAATTAGGCTTGACAAGAAAAAAGCCAATCATTACTATGCATTAATATGCTACTCTGCATGCCCCGCCGAATAGGTTACCACATCAGCATATGCGGGGCACAGTATAACCCTGCGCTGATTTTCAGTTGGCAACCTTGGTCGATGTCGCACGGATGTGGGTATATTGACATACAATAAAATTAAAATAATAATAAAGAAAGAGATTAAGGGGTCATAATAATTAAAATAATACAATATAAGTAAACATCGTACAACAATTCAATAAGAACATAAATAGCAGCTTTAGTAGCAGTAGAGCTCCTTGTGAAAGAGTTCGTCCAGGGAAGTACTGCCACCTTACTTATTTCTGCCATCCAGCAGTATTGTCAGCATTACTGTGTTCCGGTTTTGAAGGGTAAGGGTGCTGGTACATTACAGGCACAAGGGACTTGTCAACGTATGTCTCAGGGTGACGGGCGCAGTGGCAGTGCCCCTCAGATCTTTGCGATTTAAAGCTCTGAGTAGGACTGCAACTGTTATGGACAGGCGTGTAGCTTACCATCAGGAGCACGATTTGTTCGTCCCATCACTAGATATTATTTTAAAAAATCTTACACAACTACATAAATACTGATAAATATAGGTGCAATTGTTATATAAGTCGGGATTGTACAGACGTATAGTTGTTTCCAATACAACTATTCAAAATGTAGACAGGAAATCCGTGGTGTTCGATCTTTCGTCTTAATAATTACGAACTAGTGGAGTAATTCCACAAAATATAAATGAATATCATGGTATTCAATAAAACCAATATTACAATTCAAAGAGTGTCGCTCTCTTGTCAAACACTAGTAGTTAGTAGTTGTGGAACCTATTCTGCGGGCCTCTGTCGCTGAATATCATATTCGCAAAATATCATGTTCGCAAAACATGATATTCGCAAGACATCACGTTTACAAAATATCATATTCGCAAGACACACGTTCTCAAGATATTACATTCTTAATACGCCATATTCGCTAAACACCACATTCGCAAAATATCGTATGTGCGATTTACAACATTCTGTACTGGAACAAAGTATAAAATTACAATTTATAAATTGTTCATTTTATATCATTGTTAAAAGAGGAAAAAATTTAGCGATAAAATTAAAAGACTGAAGCTTCACACTTGATACAGTCTTTTGATATGGTCGAGTATTACGTATTTCTCAGTAATTGTTTCGGACGGATGTCCCTTGAGTTATTGTTGGTAATGAATTTATTTTATTTTATTTTTTTTTATTTATGGCACAATGTACAGACATCAGATACAGAAAGTGAGGAAAATAAAAACTTAAAAATTAATATAACAGGCATATCTGTGCCCAATTATTACTGTGCTGAACATTCATTTTAAAACATTTAGCTATACTTAAACAGACACTAAATCAATCATAAAAAAAAATCGAGAGAAATAAAAAATAGAGAGAATGAGAATATGCTATTCACTTTACATTAATGCTAGCAGTGACCTCTTAAATGCTGGGACACTGCAGTTAAAGATATCACAATTAGTACATATTTCATTATAATACCCACACATCCTATGTAGAGGATTATTTTGTGTAATGCACGGGCTTTGTGTTTTAACTTGTCACAATCAAGCTTAGCAAAAACTTGTCATTTTGTACGTAGGTATATAAAGCCCAAATATTACTTTAGACAGCCATATTGTCGCTTATAAGGGTGTTTTTGGGCACAATTTGCAAGTGCTTGTACCTTATACATGCGTTATTATATGAAAATAATAATTTTACAAAATTGGTTATAGCTGGTAACAAGTATGAAAACTTATGTTTATAATAGTGTTTACAAAGGTAGTAGCCTTATAATAGCAATACCTATGCTATTTATAAACCCACTAAACTTATGATCGTCATATTAACATACAACGTAATACGTTAACAGGAGCAATCATTCTTTTAGCCGTTGTTGGTGTAATAATTCTGCAAATTTAATTTACAAAATATTTACTTCGTGTGTGGTGCCTTTTTCTATCACCTATCTTGGTAAAACGGAATGTGGAAAAGCTGTTTATGTGCAAATTTGTGGTCAAGTGAAAATTTGTGGGAATTAATAACAAAACAGCACAGAGTACTAAAAAAACCGACCTCAATAGTCATTCATCCCGTAATGTGCCGCCCTTAGAGGTGGAATATTTTCTTCGAATTTACACCACACCTGAGGTACCGTCTTTCCGACAAAAAATAATCATCAAAATCTGTTCACAACTGCGTGAGTTATAGTTAGCGTAACATACATACAAAAAAACATACAGTCGAATTGAGAACCTCCTTTTTTTACACTGTACCAACTTAATTGTTTAACCAATTCTGTTTTTATTTTGTTTTTTGTCTCAATTTTTTTTCTCAAAAATTTGTTATTTTTGTTTTTTTTCGATATTTTTTTTCTTAAAATTCGGGGAGCGTAGTACCTATTACTAAATAAATATGGCTGTTTACAAAAATAAAAGAAAATGACCAAAAATAAAATTAGCGTAGTCTTTATTGTAGGTATCGATTTGTAATTAGTTGTGCATCTTGTCAAAATGCTCTTACCTATATAAATTGAACATGTAATTGATGTAACAATTGTCGACAAACCTAATTATAATAATTAATAATAATTTGCATCATACAACGTCTATAAGGGGACTATAAAAGTAACTTTGAAGATTAGAATAGGTGAAGATTTTTCGGAAAGTATAGACATGTTTACCGATTGTTCTCTGTTTTTTATTTTATCTCGGATGTGGGAAGTGAATGCAGATATTTCATTAATGGAGTGTTCTCAACACACTTACCATCTGAATTTTCTTGGTATGACACAGATAATTAGGTTTATCCAGAGTGCATGCGTACTATTTCGAGACAACTCCAATACACAATATAATATATAAATTATTGATAAATCGTACACACCATGCATTTACGTATACAAAGAGCGCGGCGCACGTTACAATCCAAACGAGTCGTCTATGATTAATAAGGAAAACAAAGTACTGACGGAAATGCGCAAGTTTTGATTAAAAATGCACTGTCGGCTAAATGGGTAAATGAATTAGTTCGCACTGCTTCAAAACAAATTTTATCGGACAAAAACGGAACTGCATAAAATAATGGAGGCAGTTCACGAAAAAAAACAATATTAGAAAGGAATGAACATCTGGAAATAACACAATAACCAGTAAGAAGATAAGGTGCCTCTGCGTTAACTTAATTCACCTAGATGCGTTAGGTACGCTTTTAGTAGGTACTTTAAATCTAAATCTTTAAACTTAAATCTTTGTCGTTACGTCATAATTGAAAGACATTGTGTATAATCAGAGTAAACTACGGATCTATGACTCCGGTTTTATCATTTGCGGAAGGTAGTTGGACAAAATAAAAAAGGTGTCCAAAGAACACAACAAAGACTACACTCGGACTGGTGTGGCCATTAAATCGGCGACTGTGACGGATTATAACTTTAGAAACAAAAGACGTGACGAACAGTTTGCAAATAACATTGGCAAAGAACAAAACAAACCAGTAAGAAGAAAATTGGACAGTAGTTATTAGAAGGAAAAGCGAGTAACTTAGTCGTAAAGTAGAATAGAGCGGATATACGAACCCTGTTCGCATGTAAACGACTAAACGAAAGAAATATATACATATCTGGTGACTACAGAGGGAACAAACAGTACAAAATTAAGAATATAGTAGAGATAGAAATGGATTATATTTCTTTTATTGTTGGTGTATTTTCATAGAACAGCCAAAAGAACAACGAATAAAACAATTGATATCTGTTATCAAAGCTAAAAGAGGGCTTAGAACTAAATTACACGATTTTTCTACAAGTATCTCATTTTCGAGTATTGATTGTGTTTGTTATTACAGAAACTGGCTTCAAAGTATCTTTATCGTGATGCCAGAATTGTTCAACGGGGATGCTCAAATTTTACTATATAATCGAGCGGATACATTTAAATGAGGAGGCGCATGCCTCGTGGCCACACCGCAATTCCAGATGCGATATTTACCAGTACCTGCTGATGTGAATGTTGACCATGTTGGTCTGGTATGTTCGGAATGGATTATGTTAACGTCTACATGCGAGATAGATTATTGGTTTTTATTGGGTATGGTTTATATTCCCGAATAGCAGGGAAAAATGATTACGTTATTATTAGTATAATTCAGCAATATTGTAAGTAGGTACAGCGAAGTCATCGTAATTTTAAATTTTTATTCTTGTTCAGTTTGTGCAAGTAAAAATTTTGAATATTTTAGTGAGTTTATAAGCAAAGTTGTTATTATCTATAGATATAGCTACAAGGAGTGACATAAAGTTGTTAAAAACCACCAAATTTTAAGTAATTAGGTACTTTTATCGAATTCCGGATTTCCGGAAATGGTTTCACTGCATCGTAGGACAAAACTCGAGAGGACTGCTAATGGCGACACAAGACAGCGTAGTCAGGTATTTAGTACCTTTTGGTACACCAGACGTCGCGACGAGAACCAATTAGCTATTTTTGTAACTAATTTGTTTTGCATTGCCGAGCTGCAATTCACAAAGCTACTCTAATTTTTAGTGATAACAAACAAATCAACTAGATGGCGCTTTTTGCACAAATATTTGCCTATTCTTTTAATTTGTTTAGGATTAGCGCCATCTACTCGTATTAGGAAGCGTTAATCTTTAAATTAGTTTGTAACTCATAATCTCAGTACAGACTACTAAAAAACCGATCTCAAAAGTTCGACGGGTTACATCTTTCCGGTTGTAAATGTTGTTTTG